GTACAAGTCGCCACGGGAAGCCTTTAGAACACCCAAAGAAACCCTTTACTCGTAAATAATTCAGTCTAGCTCTCATCTCAGTTGCGTAAAAACCCCCTCTTTGACCGATTTAAATAGTAGCACGCAACAGTACGTATAACGATAAATGCTAAATTGAAATATGATAAAATCATTTAAAAAAATCTAATTAACTTTGAAAAAATAAACAATATATAATAGAAGTCAAAATTTGACATGTTAATTAAAAGATAAACCCTAATTTTAACCAATACCATTTTCAATCCAACTTTAACACAGAGAATAGCTCTTGCTATCTTAGGTAACAAACGCGAGTAAGCGTATTGCCAGTTATCGAAAAAGCTTGTTCAGAAGCACCACTTGTTGCTTGTATAATAAACAATCATGAGCAATAGCACTCAATACTGATTATTATTTTTCATGTGTTGACTATCAATTTAATGGGGCAACATTTTCATAAAGCTGTGAAGCCAAATAATGATCCCATTCAAGTATTCTAGAAAATAATTGAGAACTATGGTTGTAGATTGTATGCGGTTACATTGAAATTGAGCAAAAAATGATGAATTGAAGATTGAGAATTGTTGATAGTATATTTACGTATGCGTTATTTGGTTGGTTGCATTGTCTGAAAATTGATAATCTTGTGCTGGATCTAAAATAGTCGAAATAAATAAGGATTCATTCATTATTCATCAAAAAATTGATGAATTGATGATACAATTCACTTCAAGTGAATTCATCATGTTCAATTAAATTATTCAAGTATACTTGAATTCCTTTAAATATAAAGCAAACATCGATTAAAGATATGATGTAGCAGATAAATGCTTAGTAACATGTTCCAAAGGTTCTAAAATAAATGTATTTTATTAATAAATTAATTAAATGAATAAAAAGACAAAATTTATTTTTTTTTTACTTAGGAATTATGTTTGTTAGCAAGAAGAGATAAAAATAAATCATTCCAACATATACAGTGCGGGTCACTTGTTATCACACAAAAAAATTAACTTCAAATTATATTAGAGCCCTCAAAATAATTCAGAAAAATTAGAAAATACGTAAATCAATAGTTTATTTATTGATTTGAGGAAATAGTAATAACAATGTAATTTTTTTTCATGAAGGGTTTATATATAAAAACGGAGGGGAAAAGACATATTATATTATATTACATTATATTTATTATATTGTTATTACTCTAATAGTTCTTAAAGGTTTGGCCAATTGTGGTAACGCTAAGTGACCTGCACTGTAATAAGCGGAATTCCATCATGTTTCTAGATCAAAAATCGATTTGAGATAACGATAAGTAATTTCATTGGTTATACAATATTTACATAAACTATCGTTTTTCAACTAGTTTTTTAGTATCTCTATTATATTCCAGACTTTTTCAACTGATTCATTTGCTAATTATAAACCATGTTGAATACAAGTACTAAGATTCATAACATGTACTACGTACATACAATAAATATTTTAAATTTAAGAAGAATTTAAACCTACCGCTACCGCTAAAAACTCTAATTGATACCAAGACCCATCATCTCCAAGAAAAACTATATAACAATAACGACAATTACTATTTCCACAGTTGGATAATCTTATGCAATCGAAGCAACAAATGTCACTAACAACACTGGATTGTCTACTCAAGTTAATCCAGCAATTAATATCTAACATAATTTTAGTAATAATTTAACAAGCAAAACATATCGATATCACAAAGTTTCAATAAATATGTACGTACGTACATCAAAAATTTTCTTGCACATGTATTATCGTTAAAAATATGCAATATTACATGAAAATACGTGATCATTCCGTAAATACGGATCAAATTTCCATGCATTAGAAGGTAAGATATCGATATATTTTAATCAATTTTATTTGGGGCTTATCGTGAATTACTTTAATGGTGGAATTTTTAGATACAGAAATTATTTTAATTTAATAAATGTTGTTATATACTTTTTAAGAAATAAGAAAAAATAATATAATTTTTTAGTGTCCTCGCTTTAATTCTCTTTCTTCCCATGCCTCATGCAAACGACGAGCCAAATATTCATCATCGAATTGATGTTCTATATAACTTTTGTAGCTAGGCAAGAGTTCAATCCAAGTCGCTGCATTAACGGAACCCTTTTGCGCAATAATGATTCGATACAAGTTTTGTCTAGATGGAATCCAGATTTCTTTTTCTAATTTGTTTTAGTAAAATAAAATATTAGTGAGCTTCAAGCAGTACGTATTACAATTGTGCAACTAAGAATAAAATAAGAAAATATTTACCCGGTAATTTACTGAAATCATCTTGAAACAATTTTACTCCCTTCCAGGTTCCCTTTATAAGCATTTCAATCTTTTCTTTCGCTAACTCTGTTTGAGGTTTTTGCAAAGCTTTAATAGCCTGCGTATATACTTTTGCCCCACGGAATTTCACATCAAGCATCAAAACACCAGCAGCCTCATCTGCAGAGTTTGCTTGCCAAAAAGCCAATCCAACAGCGTTATTGGTCAGTTTATTATAGGAATCGATAATTTTATCGACTTGACGTTTCAATTGGTCGGAAACATATTCGTCGAATTGAAGAGATATTATTTGGTCGGCTGTGGCATCTGAAAATGGTTCAAAGAAAGTAGTCGGTGTTGCTTTGGCTGCTTCACGTCTTGCAGAGTTTTGTCGATGTTTGTATGCTTGAATGAATGTTGCTAGCCGTGCTTTGGGTGAGAGCTGGGCAAAGAATTGTGTGGCGAATGGTGTTTTTTCTGGGGCGAATTTATAGAATTCGGTGAATTTAGTGATGTCTGTAGTATTATTGGTTATTAGCCATTCAAATAGTTGTTTAAAGCGAAGTATCAGCTCTACGGTTTCCAAGACTAGCTGCTGCGTTTTTGATAAAAGTTCTGATGTTGATCCTGGAACCGTGTATGATGATCCGTTGTATCGAGTATTTCGGACAGTTGGAGGCACCAACGCATTAATATCCATTACGGTGGATTCTTGTGATACTGTATTATCAATCTTCATTCCTAACGCAGTTTTAAACGCGATAGAGTATCTATTGTGTTCGTGCCTCGTCGACTCTTGAGCTTTTTTTATAAACGCTGCATATGATTCTGAAAACTCTTTTATTGGCTCATCAATTAATGATTTCTGATCAATTCCCAAGAATTTCTGGATATCATCGAACTTTTCTTCAATACCAGGTAAAGCTCTATTAAGTCTTCGACGAATAGTTTCCTCGATTGCGTATGTGAAGAGTCCTTCTTGTAGATATTGCTGCACTTGGGTGAGGGTAATATCTCCGAGTTGGAGTGCACAAAGTATATGGCCGAGTAAGACAACATGGTTAGCTACACTATCGACGGTTCGATTTAGTGGAGATTTTGTGTATTTCTCGAATAATGTTTTGTTTTCTTCACGAAGATATGTTGATTGTTTGTATAGTGCCCGGCAGGTATCGAGTATTAATGTTAGTTGTTTGCGTCGAAAATCTGTTGACGTATCACCAAGAGCTTTTCCTAGCACAAGGAAAGGGACTGTTGTAAGCTGGCTATAGGCGTAGCCAAATACGTCGAGAGTTGTCATATAACCCAAAATTGGCTAAGATTCGTAATGGTAAAAGAATTTGATTTAGCTAAATATATTCTTCACAACGATAAAAAATAGTTAAGTTTTACCTTAATTCGCTCTTTTGCTATTTGCCAATGCTTTTCGTTAATGTATAAAGGTAGAATACCTAATTTTAATATATTAATAATAAATTTTAATAATTTCAAAATTCCCTTTTAGGCGCGCGTAAATAATCAACATACCAGTTATATCTTCCCTAGCGATTCCTTGAATAACACTAGCAGAAAAAGAAGGGCCCTGAAAACCACCATGCACATTTTCGTCACCCCCACTAGTCTCTTCAAGTGCATATCGTACAGAGTTCATAAATGCATCGGATGACATGAAAGTTTGATTGATTTTCTTTATGATAAGTTGAGTCGGGTCAGCGATAGCAGCTTGCGAACGACCGATGTCCAGAGTTAAGCACATACATTCTCCTTCTCGCATTGCCTCAATATAATTATCTAGATTCAATTTAAGACGAAATATTAACGTTAGCATTTGTGGTTATTTTCAAGAGGAATAGATTAAAACTCGTAATTAACATATACCAGTAGTTAGAAGACATGCATATGTTAATTTATTTTCTTCTGTCTCCGTTCGGTCTAACTCGTCGAAATCAATTGTTTGCACAAGATTCTTAAGACGCTCTTCAATTGCATCCATTTGATCAACGTTCTTGATTGCACGATTATCAAGTTTTTTCTTTAGTCTTTGTTGGGTGACATTCTTGTATGCAAGGTTATTAAAGTTTGCGATTTTTTCATTTGACAATGTTCCTTTAAGAGCACTTCATCAATAAAAAAAAAGTGCGCAGAAATTAATTACAATATTAAAAACGAAAATAAGCAAAAGCTAATAATTTATATCGGTATACATACTCTGATAATAAATCTTTGAAACGATGCAACATCGCTTTAACGTCCATACACTGTCGTATAGTTTCATTTCGAAAAGCGCTCTTCAATTTAAATGACTTCTCCAAGATAATATTCAGATTCGCATCATAATTTTCAGCCTGTTCTTTAATTTCATCCAATTTCTCGCGATTTCCAGTGTTATTAATAATCTCATTTGTCAATCGCGTAATTTCACTTTGCATTACAGGAATAGTCAAAAGCGTTGCTTCTGCATCTCCCTCGTTAACTTGTCGTAGAGATTCGATGGTAAATGTTTCTAGGCCGGTTGCTTCTTGATCTTTGAGAATAGTTACTTTTTTCCCTCGGACTGATTTGTTCTCTTCGGTGAGTACTAATCTTCCACATCCCTCGTTGTCGAAGGCAGTTTGAATTGCTTCATTATCACCGATCTTTACAAAAATGTTTCGATCTCCGAGCGAAAGCAATTCAAGTGTCGTTTTCATTGTTTTTCCGATATCGACGGTAGTTTCCACGTATTGGAAGTTTCCTTGTTTTGTTCCAAGTTTGGTCAACCATGACAAGATTGCTATTTATTATGATTAAAATCGGGATTTGAGAAGAGTTTTTTTTAAAACTGGTCAATGATTTAAATTAATATTTAAATTACCTGCATCATGATATCTACTAAAACCGATGGTATGAACTTCAGTACCATGTTTAAACGTAGATAATGCACTAGAAATAGCATTATTATCTTGATCTTGAACTTTGGATGTCTGTCCATCGGTGAAGAAAATTACAGCCAAATCGGTATGAACTGTTGGCATATGTTTGACGATCTCTCGATAGACATGTGTGAAATCGGTTCCTACGTACGTATTTAGAAATTAAAAATCTACTATGAATAAAATAGTTCTGGAACTTATGAGAATTGAAAAATACACCTCAAGTTTTTTTTACCTCCTCGAATATTAACTTTATCCTTGAAATATCTTTGAATACCACCATTATCCCAACGTAACTCTGGATCATTGGCAAAAGGAACCACAGTACAATTGTGATCGAAAAAGAAACACGTGATGTCTTGTTCAGTACATGCACCGGAACTGAAAACCCCTTCTAATAATTCCAAAATGGCTTGCTTGGCTTGTTTGATTGGTTCACCACTCATCGAACCTATATTCCATAATGAAAATCAGTAATTGTGCAGTATTTAAATTTTGAGACATTTCCCAATAAATAAATTTAAAAATAAATTTACCAGAAATATCCAAACATATAAACAATGCAATTGTGCGACCCTTAAACCATTGCGAGAGCAGATTTTCGGGTATTTTAAGAGAAAGTATAGTTTTTTCGGTGTCGAATTCGTAGAAGCTAGCTTCACCTTTATTTGTGTTTGTTACTTCAGACATAATCAAATTTATTGGTGTAACTTGAACAAAAGTATATAATGAAAAACGAATTAAGACAATATAATTGATAATTCACTTAAAAAGTCAAGACGGAGAATTAACTCCTCCTTTTATATCTATTTTTTAATTAGTGTGGGAACATTATGATCGCTGCGCAATCGCTGCTGCGTATTGTCGTTATCGTTATTAGCGTTAGATTAATTCATTATTTGTACACATAAAATAAGGCGTTGCAGATCATAATTGAATATGGGTTAGCGTTATACATGTTCGAACATGTACGTAGTTTGCGTATAACGATAATGATAATGATAACGACAAGATTTTACGCAGAACAATATTTATCACGTTAATTATTAAATTTCACAGCAAAATCTAATCTATTTTCTAATACATTCTTTGAAAAATAAACCCGCTTTTTCATAAAGTAATACGTAGTCCAATATTAACTTATCGGAAGCAACTACTTGAGCATTTTAGACCGAAGAAATTATTCAACTTCTAGTTAAAACAAAAAATATCGAAACATCATCTATAATTTGTTTAATTTACATAAATCTAAGTCAAAATGCATAGAAAATAATCATACTGAGTATATGGAATGTTATTTATTTATCGATTTAGTGCAATAAAATTTAGAGCATTAATGAAAACACAGAATAAAAAATATTACATTTCATACAATGGCGACCAAATTCAATAATTTTGATGGCTTTGCATACACATAAATAAATAAAAAATGGTCGAATAACCAGCAATTGAAATTCTACAAACTTTTCGAATTTATAGTACAGTTTTAATTACATCGTTTATATCGATATGTTCTAGCTTACTTTAGAAAGAAATCCATTTCCATTCAAATTTTTTGGATTGCATTCCTGAGTATTAATTATTTCTAATTTTCATTTCAAACACCTGTTTATTCATTCCAAAGATATACAATAAGCTTTTTAATTCTATAATAAAATTAAAAAATTTATTTTGAAAGTTCTTCTGAGTAGGGTATTATGCCCCTAAAATATCAGTACTTGGTGTGTTCTCTTTCCGTGTCAATGCAAATTCGAATATAATTTAATGTTCTGAATATTTTGTAATTTGAGCGTTTTTAACAGTCTTGAAGATTTTAAAAATCTGTAATCGGGGAAAAATGACTTGCCGTGATGTGCTTCTATTAAATTTTCGCAAATGCATCACATTATCTCGCTAGAAATCTAGCATTGTTATTTATATCTTTTGCTTCTATAAAAGATGTTAGTATTGTAGTAAAATTTATATAACAATCTCAACTACCATTACTTTCACTGGGGACTGTATCTTGAAAAAATTTAATGACAAACAATATTATTTTTCAACAGGATAATGATCTTAAGCATAACTGTTAATCCAACTAAACAATGGTTCCAAGCGATAGGATGAATACTAAGAAAACATTATCCTCACCTTATTACCCACAAATAATCAGATTATTAGAATGATATCATCGAAAATTAGCAAAAACATTAGTAAAACTCAGCTTACAATCCAAAACACATTTGAATTACTGCTGAGAAACAAGCAAGAATATGTGCTCTTGTCAAACTTGGATTCTTAGCAAGAAAAGCTGCTTTTATGGAAGGTATTGGTCATACATTTGCTTCACGATTAATAAAAAAAAGGTGAAAACAATAGTTTGGAAGATCTATCAAAGTCTGGTCATTCCTGATTTCTTGGAGAACATGATGAATGAAAAATTGTTAGATATATCACTTCTGGAAAATGCAAGATTACAGTTGACAAAAGAAACTCCAAATTGAATATAACATGTCAATTTCCACTGATACCGATGCAAAACATTCAAAAAAAAAATAATTTGCGATATGAATCTGAAAAAAATCATATCTTCAAAGACACACAGAAAACAATATTTAATCTTTGCCTGAAAATACCAAGATTGAACATCTGAAGATTGAAAATATGTAGTGTGATTGGATAAAAATAAGTTTTATATTTTTGGTTCAGATAGATACCAGTATATTTGAAAGAGTCATAGGATCCAATTTGCAATTATTATATTAAATCTACAGTGAAATTTGACAATAATTCAATCATGGTGTAGAGATATATGACTTCTCATAATATTAAAAATCTTTATTATATTGATAGTGATCTTAATACTAAATTTTATATACAAATACTCAATAAAAATTTTTTTAGATTATTATTATGATATAATATAAATACAAATAATATTATCTTTTAATATAATAATAATTTGAAATATATATCAAATAAAATATAGAACTAGCTTAAGAAAAATAATATTAATGTTCTAGATTGGCTGATTCAATTTCTAATCTAAATTTGATAGAGCATCTCTAAAATGAGATGAACCAATATTTTAAATATTTTTCAGAACTAATTTTGGAAAAGACAATCTTTGAAAAAAAAATTCAGAATATATGAAATGCTCTGAAAGTTAATATTTGCACCAAGTTAAATGAAACTATATTAAAAGAATATATAATATAATAAAGTTAAGAATGACTATACAAATAATAATTTTATAACTAAGCTAAGTAAATATATATTTTATTTTAATTTACTATATCTAAAAAAAATAAAACAATAATTAATATTAATATAAAAATAAGTAAAATAATAAAAAAATTAAGAATACATATTTTTGTTAGTTTAAGTAATTAAATTTAATTATATATTATATAATAAATTATTAATTAAAGAATTTAAATAAATAAAAATTTATTTAATTATTATATTTAATTATAATATATTTATTTTTTTAAAATATCTTATTTTCTTTGCAAGTTATTATATAATAATAGTATTATTTTATAATTATTATTTTATATATATATCTTATTAATAATATTATAATTATTATTATTTTGTTTATTTTACTTGTTTTTTTATTTTTTTATTATGTATATTATTATTTAAATTTAGTATATATTATTAACTTTATTATATAAAATTATAAATAATATTTCTTAAATTATTAATATATAAAATTATATACTAAAATATTATGTTTTATATTATTGCTTGTATTTATAATTTTCAAATTTTTTATTTAAAGATTAAAATAATATAATTAATTATTTTTATAGATTTTTATATATAATAAATTATTTAAAAAATTATTTCTATATTAGTTATTAGTAATATAAGTATTTTTATTATAATAAAAAGATTAAAAAATAATATAAATTTTAATATAATTTATAATTTTTTGTTAAAATAATTAAATATTCAAAATTAAATAATAATTTGAGTAATATTAATATTAATATTATAATATTCAATTAATTTTAAGTATAATTATAAATAATTAAAATTAAAGTTAATTAATTTTTATACTTTCGGATTTTTTTAATTTGTCTTTATAAAAAAATAGTAATTATTTAAAATTTAAATATAAAAATAAAATATAATAAAAATTAATAATTTTGTTTTATATTAAAATACTAATAATAAAATAAAAATTTATATGTAAAATAATTAAAAAAAATTCAAATCTAAGAATTATATGATATTAAAATATTTAATTTTATAAAAAATAAAATAAAATTTAGTAAAAATAATAATTTTATAATTTATTGAATATTATATAATTTATAAAATTTTGTAATAAATATAAAATTATTACAAAATATTTATAATTTGAATTTTTTGTAAAAAAATAATTATTTTATAATTTAATAATATTAGAACATATAATAGATTTTTGTATATTTTTATATTTAATTTTAAAATTTTTATGCATTTTTTAAATTGTGTTAAATATAGTATAAAGATCTAAATTTAATCTATTAAAATATAAATATTAAAATAATAAATTTGTTATATTATTTTTATATTATTATAAATTTTTTAAATTACTTTTATTTTTTTGAACTATAATAATTTTAGTAAAAATTAATATAATATTTAACTAAATTATGAAATTATATATTAATTTTATTAATAAATATAGTAAATATTGAAAAATTAGTCTTATATAAAAGTTTTTAATTTTATTAATAAATACTTTTTATTTTTAGATTAAAATAAAGATTATAATTTAATATATATTTTAATTATAAAAAATTTCTGTAATAACTTTATAATTAAAATAACTTTGTCAACAAAAAAAAATATATATTAAATTATAATTATAATTATAATTATAATTATAATTATAATTATAATTTTTGTTTTAATATAAAAATTAAAAGTATTTATTAATAAAATTAAAAACTTTTATATTAGACAAAAATTTTAATTTTTACTATTCTTTATCAATAAATTTATATATATAATGTTATAATTTTGTTAGTTACTATAATTTAAAATATAATAATTTTAATTATTAAATTAAATTTTATTAAATTTAACTAGTTTTTTACTAAATTACAATAAATATATATTTTTATTTTTATTTAAATTAATTAAATAATTAGAAGATATTGATTTATTTGTATAATAATATTAATATTTAATTTATTATATTTTATTAAATTAAATTATTCATATTTTTTTTGTTAAAAACATAATATTTTTTTCTAAGAAGAATAAATTTTGTTATTTTAGTATTATTAATTATATTTTTATAACTTTAAAATATTTAATATTAATATAATAATAGAATTAAAAATTAAAACTAATTTAGTTTTAATTTATTAACTTTTAAAATTATATTTAAATATAATTTAATTATATACTTAATAATAATTAATTAATTAATTATAATAAATTCAGTTAAAATTAATTATATTAAAATATATTATATTTTTTAATTATTTTTATTATCTATTTGATATTATTTTTATAATTTATATAAAATAAAATATAATAATATACTGACCAATTATAAATTACTATATATAAAAATTTTAATAATAATAGTAAAATATATAAAGAAGTTTTAATTTTAATTTATAAATATTTTTTGTTTTTATATTATAATAAACTAAGAATTTAAATTTTAATATATATTTTTTGTAAATTTTTTAGATTTTATTTTATGAAATTCTTCTGATTATAAAATATCTGCAAAAATTTTTATGATTAAAATTTAAAAATTTAATTATAAAATTTTTACAGATATTTTATAATCAGAAAAATTTTATGAAATAAAATCTAAATAATCTACAAAAAATATATATTAAAATTAAAATTTTTAGATTATTATAATATAAAAACAAAAAATATTTATTAATTAAAATAAATACTATTTTACAAAATGAAAATTTATTGTATAATAAGTAATAATAGATTAAATTTTTTCAAAAAAATTATTAATTTAAATATTTATATTAAAGTTAATTGATTTTAATAAATCACAAATAATTATAATTTTTTTATTTATATATATAAATATTTATTTATATAATGTAATTATAAACAATTATAAATAATTTTTTATTGGCATGATATTTGAATTTTTAGATATACAATTTTAAATATACATCATAATAAATTGAATGTGATTAAAAATTGGTTAAACTTAGTAAAAACTTATTAAACTAATTAATATAAATCTAATTAATTAGTTTTCAATTCAATTATAAATATAAATTAATTAAATTTAGTTATAAATTCAATATTAATAACTGGTTCTAATATCTAATTATAATATTATTTATTTAAAATTAAAATATTTTTTATTTTATATTTTTCTTTATTATTTTAAAATTTTACTCTTTTGTATTTCATTATTTTTTATCTTTTTTTTTAAATTATAGCAATTATAATAAAAATTGGTATAAAACTTAAATATTTTCTCTTTTATTATTCTTTTGTTTTCTAGAATTTTGTTTGTAATAGCTATTCAAAAATTATTCAATATTTTTATTTTTTTAATCAAAATGGCAGAAAATTTCTGAATAATTCTGGAAATCTATCACTTATTAAAATTGCAGAAATTTCTGGATAACTACAACAAAGTTATTAAATATTATGATTTTATAATTTTTGTGATTTCTCATTCTTATAAAAAATTATGTTCTTATTTACATCTGTTTCGTTAATTTGAACTTTTCCAGTACCTTTATTAATTTCTAAAACAAATTTCCAAAATAATTAATACGTAGCCAGAAAATCTCTGATCTTTTTTTAATTTGTAATACATGTATGTCTAAATATTTAAAATAATTTTAAAGCATTTTTTTTTGTAAATTGAACTTTCTATCTTTTTATCTACGTATATACATATATAATAAATTACATGCTTTTATTACTATATTTTTGCATTATGACTAATACCTGGAAATTTTATCAAAAGCTCTACAAAGATAAATTTTGTTTTATTTTTTTTATCAAGTAAAATATTGAAGCATTTTATGAACGAGTTGTAGAATATTTCGTATAATGTATATAACCTTTATTGATAAATTCATTTGTTGCTAAAATACAACTACAAATAATAGAAACACTATTCTGATGAACTACCCTCTATTAATGATGACGACGATAAAAGAAAACCGGTGCCTCTCTATTATATCCTTCATTATATCTATTCCCACATAATCGTTGTTGTCTCTCTAAAAAACATCTATTATCGCAAGCTCTGTGAAAAGAGCGAGTAGTAATCTTATTCAGAAAATGTACCAGAAAGAAAGTGGGAACAACTACGGCAGCAATCGGGAGCACAATCTTGAACAATGCGAAAAAAATACGAATAAATGCGAAAAAGAAAGTTACAGAGACAATTGTTGTGATTGCGTTTGATACAAGGAATGAAAAAATATTGAAAAAACCACAAGTACGTGAATCTTTATTGCAATGATTGCAATTGTTTCTAAGATGAAGAAATGGTGCAGTGGATCGGTTACAAAAGCTACGACGACCAGAATATTGATTAAAGTCGCATCGATTTCTATTATTGCTGCAGTGAGATTTTTCAAACGAGTTAAAGTTACAGAATTGATTTTGTGTTGGCTGTGAAGAAATCTTTAATAAAATTCTTCTTGCTCCTGTTGAAGAAGATTCTGCATTCTTACTATCATTAGTAGCATTCTTTTCGGAATCACTATTCGTAGATTGTTCGGCAGTAATATTGTAAAATATTTTAAACCAATCGTCTAAAGTCCCCATTTCATCATTAGTGATCTGTTTTGTTTCCGATTCCGATTCTTTTTCTATTTCAGTTTTGGTTTCCTGGTTATTACTTTCTTCTTTTTTTGATGTTTCATCGTTGGAAGCAGTTGGTTCTTCAATTGAAATTTGTTTCTGTTTACCTTTAGAAGAATTGTCATTATTTGATTCATTTGCTTTGTCTTTGATAGTTTCAGTATTATTCTCTTCTGTTGTAATCGTAGGTGCAAATTCAGGTTCATCTGTTTCGTCGGTGATTGTGGTATGAAGGTGGTGAATAGAATTATCTGGCAGAGATGCGTTTCGTAATGATTCTTCATCATCAGATGATTCTTTACTATCATCATTATTATTAGTCAATTTATCCGAATCTTCTGATTCACCTGTCACAGTAGCCTCAGTCTCTTGCTTTTCTTCAACATCAACTTTTTTGTCAATTATATATGGCGAAACATTTCCTTCCAACACCCAAGAATCATTTTCCGGATTCTTGGTGGAATGATCACTGTCGTTAACAGTTGAAAGAACAAAACTCAACGTTTTGAATGGCGACTTATTATTATTAGAAATAACTTCGTAAAGTTCTAAATCTGAGGATAATGTAATAACATCTCCATCTTCGTCGGTATAAGAAACTGAAATCGGATTAGTTTCTGGAATTGAAAATAATGTGCGAAGTTGTGTTTCAAAATCTATCCAGGAGTTCGTTGTGGCGTTTGGAATTGTTAGGCGACGAACGGTTGATTGGTATTTTACTTTGATGTTTGCTGCCATTCTTGTTGTTAATTATGAGAAATAACGAATATTGAAATGGATTATTTAATTGCGTTTATTTAATTTGATAGGAATTATATCTTCAAGTAATTTATTATTCGAATTTTGAAATGCTCACATCCGCCCTATTAATACTTTTTTTTTGATACCAATGATTCGTTGCCAGAAACCAATTGAAACCCAACACATCCTTTCAATCTACGTACTTGATGTACGTATACAAAACACGTTTTATTTGTACGTATTAGTAAAGCATCTGCGCGTCACATTCGTAATTTGGCGATGAAATCATTGTTTGCTCGAAGATTCTGGAAAGAATATTTTTCCGATATCGGCAATGCAATTTATCCGTCGGAAACTTGCAGATTCCCGTGACTTCTAGACAATTTTAGTAATCAAATCGACTACGCGGCTTTTTAAAAATGGAAAGAACTTTCTCGTCGTGCAACGTGTATACGCAGTGAACGCATGTTTACGTTTACAGGTTTGCGTGGGAACCTTAAATTTTACATGTACACATGTACGTAGTTACGTATTCTAAACAAAAGTGTGAGTGTTACATAAACGTAAGCAACTCTGGGAAAACTATAAAAGCAAATTAAAAAGCATTTGCTTTTTTCCCAAACCAATTTACTTCAAAAAAATTCTTCTCTTAAAAATTTTTTCCGCCATCATCTCATTAATAAAGAATTAATTACACACGTAAAAAATGACAAGCATCAAAGTAGCCTACCAATCAACTCTTCGTCGATTCAGTCTTTCATCACCATCGACTGCAAGTTGGGCCGATTTAGAGAATAAGCTTCGTACGCTTTATTCCATTCCAGCTACCACACCAATTCAACTCTCTTATGCGGATGAAGATGGTGATGTTATCACCTTATCAAGCGATTTAGAACTCCAAGAAGTTTTAAGTCTGCAAGCTCAAGGAACTACTTACAAGTTCACGTTGAACACATTACCCATTTCTGCCCCGAATTCCTCCACCTCGAGTATTGGCCAAGAACCGAATAACGAATCTTGGGTGATGACAGGCCGACAACGAGAAGGATCTGTCGAGACAGTTGCATCCGATAATGAAGCGAGTAGCATTCATCAAGTTAATGTTAATCAAATCGAAGATAACCCTACAAATAATCCATTCCTGCAATCATCTGAATCACAACAAATTGAACCAGAAGTCACGAAACAAGAACCGGTTGTACAAAATCCAAATCCAGAGCCAGAATCTCGACCACCTTCCTATTTTCACGTGAGTATTGCTGATGAAGACGATGAAGTAATGCTAGATTCTAACAAAGGAAAGCAAAAGGATATTGCTGGAGAAACATCAGCTTCTGCTTCCGCTTCTGCTTCCGCTTCTGCCTCATCTAGTTCAAATAATAATAATAATAATAATAATAATAATAATAATAATAATAATAATAGTGAAGAACAAAAACAAGAAGGTCGACCTCCTTTCATGGATCTCGCAGAACAATTTCAGAATTTGTTGAATCAATTCCAAGATGTCTTGGCTCAGAAACCGGAAATTGTTGAAACAGCTAATGGAATTATGGATCAAATTCTGAATGCTATTCCTGTTGACATTGAAATTTGGGCCGAGTGGTTAGCTTCTCTTCGCCCTGGAAATCAACGAGAACAGCAACGAGAACAGCAGCGAGAACAGCAACAAGAACAGCAACAAGAACAAAATGGCGCCCACCAATCTCAAGAACAATCACGGGGAGCTTTTGACACTTTCTTCCCGCCAGGTTTTCCATTCCATCAATCTACTAATGCGTATGCTGGAGGCTGTTCTTTTATCCAACCAGGCACTTTCCCATTCAGTTCTCACTCATGGAATAATCCTGCAAATCATGGCGCCGGTAACTGGAATGTATGTGGTCGACGTGGAGCATGGAATGGAGCTGGTGGATGCCGACGCGGTTCACAATATAATCGCAGTAGAAACTGTCATAGCGCTCCCCATGCAGCACGTGAAACAACACAGCAACAGCAACAAGAACCAACACAACCAGAAAAAAATATCGATCAAACCATTCAAGATAAACTCTTGATCCTTCATCAAATGGGATACTGGGAAGACGACGACCAAAATATTGATCTATTGAAAAGATATAACGGTAATCTTGAACGCGTTGTTGAAGTATTGTTACAAGGACAGAATGAGCGCGATGCTAATATCCAACAATTACTGCAACAACAAACTACTCAACCGATGGAAGAAGTTGAAGAGAACGAGAAGCGTCCTTATAATTTGTAATAATCCTTAAAGTTTGTAACTACTTGGTAAAATATAGATTTTTCATAAGATTTACGTTTAAATTATTATTCGCATATGTATGCTCTTAATTTATCGTTATCATTATTCTTTTCTCATAAATATAATAAAATGAATTAAATCAAAATTGTTGTTATCGTTATCGTTTTGATGATTATTCGTGTATTACATGTAACGGGCAGTATCGCTAACCATTAATTCTAGTTATCGTTACATGTATATATCGATATATATATATATATACATGTCTATTCTAATTTGGGATCCACTTAAATTCTGATTAACCCCAGATTGAAGTGCAAAACTAATAAATTCACTCGATAACGATAAACCGGATTTCAGCTCTAATTGACCGACCACTCTGGTTTATCGAATTTTACTGTGTATTGACAATGCGTTTGTATTTGTGAGCCTTTTAGCATTTGAGTTGAGTGAGTTTTTAATATGTTGAATCAATGAGCTCGAGCTATGTAAAAGAATCTATGCAAAAAGGGAGAAAGACTTTGATCTTCAAGATTTGAAAAGAGTAGCTTTGCTGATTTTTAATTGGTCAGCAGTCAGTTTTACAAGAGAATTTATCAATAGATCACGTCATTTTGGTTTTTGAAAGGCATTGTTTTTTGTTAGTTTGATAATAATTTCGTGAATAATTTCTAAAAATTTAGTATCCATTTAACGAGAAGAATTTACAGTAAATTTTGGGGTGTCACATTGACATCTATCAGACGTGCTATCATAACGGAGGCGAAGGTTATGATACCAGAGTTAATTTTACACTAAATGCGAAAAATTTTAAGAATTGAACATTAATCAAATCATAAATATAATGCCAAGAAAAGTACATGTACAAGCATCTGAGGCAACTCCAGATAAGGGAAGTTTTACAGAAAATGAAGTTCACGAAATTTGTGAATTTTAAATTTACAGCCGACAAATTATTCATCTTTATACATGTACTGTATATTTTTGCCTTTAGGCATGCTAGTAGTTTACAAAGAATAAGGTGATGCAAATATATTGATCACGTTCACAAAATATTATATCGAAACAAATGACAGCTACAATATATCATATACGATTGAGCACAAGCACCCACCGAATACATGTACGTATAAGCAAAAGAACAGGTGCTTCAATATTAGTGGCATCACGGGAAGGCAAATAATTGGTTTGCATATTGATACTCAGATGCTCTCCGAATGTTTCGGTTGCTTATATCCGGTCATACGTATGATGAAAATTTATTTCATTACCCTAATAATGTTCAATGTCTACATATCGAATTAATCGTTTCGTGTTGGCGAAATGTGTTTTAATTTACATGTAATATGAATATTATAATAATATAATTAAGATATTTTTTCGCTAATTACTATTTATGAGCTTTTTGATCGTATAAGAAACATAAAAATGTATCTAGTTACAAGAAGCAATTCTCGTAGTATTCATGTTCTATTTTTACTGTTATTAGCATTTGGCTAAAAATTATACTATTAATGTTCTAGTGAAAATTGCAAAACGTCAATAAATACCAAAGACCATCATTTTATATAAAACAAAATTCTAACACTATTATTAGTATCCACCTTTTCCTTGACCGATTTCCATTCCTCTTCCGTATACAAAGGAATCCAAGAGCAACTACAACCATTAATATCGACAACACCACCACTCTTACTATTGTTATTATTAGTATCACCCGTTAATTTGCAATAAATCTTATTAACAGGTCGCTTGAATCGTTGTTTAATAAAGTATACTAGATGATGATAAGAATCTTCAATCGGCCATTTTATAGCACGTATTTCGATTCCAAATTTGCATAGAATATTCATCTAATTACGTACACAAGAAACTATTAAATACAAGTATTCAAAGCTGAAACTTTATTTAGGTACTCACGTCGATATTAAACGGCTTTTCTAACAATTTATCTTCCTTTTCTTTTTCTTCCATCATCAACTTTTTTTCACGTGCGAAGAAATAATCTACGCTTCTGCGTGACTCTTTTTCTTGGTACATTCCTTTACCAATCTCGCCATGAATTACTTCTCCCTACAATACCAAAAATAAATATTTCGATCCAGAAAATACTGCACAAATCGAATGATAGATAGAAATGGACATACTGGAGCGATATCAAAAGGGTTGCGATTCATTGAAACGTAAGTTAAATGAACCACCTTTTGAACTCGCTTCACAAAATTCTGAACTAATTCAGAGTCGATGCTTTCGAATGGTTTACATCGAAACCTCTTTGATCCAAAGAAAGCCAAATGGTTAAAATTGTCTTGATTCTCTTCTTTATAAACCTCCTTATAAATCTACGGTACGGTATATTGATAGCGATACATTAATGATAACACAAATGAAGAATTTACATAAAAAAGCATTACAATACTTACTTCTCGATAACTTTTAGCAAACCGCAACCTGATATAAATCTCTTTGTCAGGCTCTGGCAAAATTTTAATCGCCGAAATTTCTCTCAATGGAATGGACATTTCACGTTTCATGTTACAGATACAAATCGAAAGTGTCTCCGGTTCAGGGGAATATACAATTCCAATGTCCAATCTGTTTTTGGTACTTAAAATTTTTTCGTCTAGATTACGAAGTGCTCTGATTTCTTCTAAATCTATCATGAGTTGCTGAAGTTGCTCTTTTGTTTCTGGAGATGGAAGCGGCTTCTTATCTTTATCGTCTAATGCTGACGTTTCTGTGGAAATGGAGAAAATACCAAAAAGGCTTGTATTTCGAGACGAAGTGGAATATTAAAAAAACCCACTTACCAATCTCCGCGTTTCCATGAAACCACTCAATTTCATCATCGTTACTTGGATTATTATTTTTATCTTCTGTCGAAGACAAAAAAGGTATATGTATATCTTTACTCATGTTCGAATAAAATAAGAAACACTACTTGTATAAATTAAATATCATTCATTGTTTGTTCGGTAAGTGTAACACGACACGTAGATTGCAATTTAATTTACTAGCAGAAATTTATCATTAAAAAGAAACCATTTTATTACATTCCAATAAATCGATATTACTAAAAATAGTCATTTATCTAAATTACTTAAAGAGCTAAACAATCGTTTGACATTACTGCTAATCTGAGCATTGCATTTTTCAAACTCTTGCTGTAATTTCAATACTTTATCTTGTACTGGTATACAATCTTTTGATCCTCCAGCACTATTACCTCCTGATTGACTGAGCTTCAAACGATCAACCTCCAATACTCTCCCTTCCAACGATTCCAGCGCAAGCAACCCAATCGAAACTCGTTGACTAGCCTCAACAGCATTTCGAACTGCATGGGTGATTTTCTCTGCACGAGCGAAAAATGCCATCGATGTATATTTTAAAATATAATTGACTTGAACTAAAAGAGAATTCAATTTTATTTGTAATTGTAGAATAGGCTCTTCGTGTTTCCGATTTTTGGGTTGTTTGCGGAGTAAATTTAGTTTTGCTGTGTGAGATTTTATTCCTGCTGTGTAAAATATTACTCCACGTTTAAAGTTTTTTTGAAATTGTCCGGGCGATTTTTGGATATCATCGATTTCGAATACTTCATAAGTTGTCTGTACATTGAATTTTGGTTCATCACATTCATAAAATGCGGTATGAGTCCTCGAATTCCAATCAACTCCACATCCCCAACAGAAACTAGAATTTTCGAAAATATGAGTATTGCTCGTCAAATTGAAACGTCAAAGAACAAAGTTGATTAAAAATACACTTACTTGAATTGACAAAATGCGCAAATCATATGCATACATCCACCGTTTTTCGAGACCATAATTTTACAATTTGGACATGGCTTCGTGGAAAGACTTTCAACAGGAGCTATTTTTGGAACAGCTATAACAACTGTGTGATTATTTCGAGCATAATGTTGATAGTCTTTGCAAGTAGCTGGCCAATGTCCACCATTTTTTTCGCATGTTTGACACCATGTCGAGTCACATCCATTACAATGTAAAAGTCCATTGCTGTTGTTGTTGCTACTGCTATTCATAGATATTTTATGCGAAATAGCGTGATTGCATTTTCCGTCAATGCACCACAAATATTTTTTGTTCAATGAATTTTGTTGTAGTTGAATAAACGAATCTCGAAACCATGTATGATATTTCGTGGTTAGTTCATTGGATAACATCCATCCAATAGTGATTGGATCCACAAGAACTTTGCATTTCGATTCACCAGGACAGTAAATTTCGAAAACTTGTTTTTCAGAAACTTTAATTGTGAGGTACTGGATAAAGCAGTCATTGCAAACAACATGTTTACATGGTGCAAATACTGTAGTCTCATTTTTTGGGTAATCATCGAAGCAAATAGCACATGTTTTTAAAGAATTTTCTGCTGTGTTATCGTTAAAGTTGTCCATACTATTGAGATTCTCTATTTCGTCGGCGATTATTCTTGCTGTTTCCTGAAATTTTCCTTCTTTATAATCATTCTTCAACGCATCAACTGACTTCTCAATATCCCAAAGATTCGAGCGCAAATATTTTCGAGCTTGTGTGATGGAAACGATAATACCAATTAATTCATCAGACTTCTCTACGACTTTTCTTTCTGCCTCAAATTGCACTTGCATAATACGAGCAGGTGAATATGATTCAATACGCCAATCCAAAGTACGATCCATCCATTCGCCCAACCAAAATTCTCCCCTGAGTGTTTTAATTGATTGATGATTATTTTCGTGTTCCCAAAGCCAAGTTCGACTAAATTCTGCTACCTCGTACATAGCAAATTCTTCTTGCTCTGCTAATTCCCTAGCATGAGCTTCAAGTTGTGTTTGCAGTTCTTTAACGTCGATAATTTCTTTTTTATTGGTGTCGTATAATGGATTTATTACACGTAAATTAATTGGTTGTTTTGGATATTTGATTGGAATATCAAATAGTATCTGAATTTGGTTATTAGCATTGTCAATACTGTTCTCATGTTGTTGTCCTTCAGCCGAACCCGATATATTTATTGCATATCGAAGGGGGAATGTATTAGAGTGTGTAAAGTCATTATTATAAATAGTCTTCAAGATTTGAATTTCGGAAAATGACATATAGTTATTGGGATTTATTATTTACAATATGAAAGACACGAGCGAAGTTAAGGAAAAAGGTAATGGCACTCGAGCGCTTCTTATATTTATTTTGAGTTGTATGATAAGAAATGGCGCAGATAGAGCATTAATTTGACATGAACATGTACATGTACGTATTTGGTCGATATCGATACCGATACATGCATTAACGTTAATACGTACATGTACATGTATCAATATTGATATTACGCAGTTTACGGTGAAACATTGCGCTGCGGTCTATTTTGCATACATGTGAAAATTTTCGTGTGCATCATATTTCTTATTTTTTTAATATCGAATTTACAAATCCAGTTATTAATCCAATTTAATATCAAACCATACCAATTATAATTAAGACATGTTCAAAATTTTTTAAATTATTAAAATTACATCTACACTCACCGTTTGAAATCGACTTTTACGTAACCTTAATAGAAAATGTCAAAGAACAAAAAAGAACTTGTAGCTTTTGAACAAGGAAAAATTTATGGAATTTCTGCAGTTGGTGCCAATGTGGTTGCAATTAGCAATACTTTAAAATTCCAATAGGAGATTTATTACACAATTACCTAATATTTCATTAAAGAGAAATAAATATTAAACTTTATATTAATTCAATAAAGGTGGTCAACAAAATTCTTCTTTAAATACTTATTAAAAGAGTATATATATACGGTTACACCTGTATAATCGCAATCACACTTTTTCCCGGTTTCGGTTATTATGGAGCATAGGAAATTTGACCATACAATTACAACCTCTTTAAAGTCACACTTTCTGGTCCGATGGTGTGATCATATGGAGGTACGACTGTATCAAAATGTGTTATTATCAAGTAGACTTTGCAAACTCTTTTAATCCTTCTCTTTTTTACTAAATTTTTTTATTAGACTTAAGATCCCACCCAGCCGTTAAAAGAAATTCGTTTCAACCTAGTCAAGTGAGTGATCGTCACTCTGTCACACACATTTAGGATTTAGGGGTGGCTAAAGCCTGGCGGACATGTGATACGCGTTTATCAAAGTGTGGAGGGCTACAGTATATGTAAAATTGCCTCCCCAGTGATTAAAGCATTTTCAATATTTTTCATTTTTTACGTTCGTACTTCGGATTTGTTTTTCCGGGTTGATCAAAATTTACGCATTCTTATTGGCTTGTTTCTCGGACAAACCACCGGCCCCAACAGGCTTTAGCCAACCCCAATTTAACATCCCATCATACAAAATGGTAATCAATTCATTTTTCCCTCTTCAGGATTAGCCACTCGAAGCTCCGCCCTAGAGCTGCTGTAATTCATTTTTGAAATTAAGATAAAGTCATAATTACTTTCCAGATATGTCATAATTGTTTCCAACAATTATGAACGGCAGCTTTATTCCGCTCTCTTTCTTTCAGCTCTAGACACGTCCAGCAATCCCTTTACCTAGGAAACAAACGTTACAACAGATATAGGATTAAACATATGCTTGCTGTTGGAGACAATCCCCTCCTTCCAAGAGAAGTCAAGAAAGTCCTATAGTGCTTCCTGCTTTAAACGGCGAGGTATACTTTTACAGTCTTTCACGTGACCTCTCGAAGAGGATACCTCTATATTATTAAAACGCAAACCCGTCGTCACACTTAGAGATGGCGCAGCAAGTATGTGACGCTTATTTGTCACCCGTTGCAACACGTTGCAACTCCAAAATTTTATAAGCCGCAACTAGTTGCAACTAGGTGATGCTTTATTTGTCACCACGTTGCAACAGTTGCCGCGCCATCTTTAGTCACACTATGTTTGATAAACAAGCTTTTTTTATGTGTAACACCTTTTGTCGACAGTTATTAGAGAATGAACAAGAACAAGTGTAATTGGTATCGTTACTTAAAACATGTGATTGCTCTTCAGATATTCAAGGCATAGTCGATCCATCCGGGTTTAGGATACCTTGGTCGCGTGAGTTAAAGACTGCCCCATGCACCCTGAAATCAATATTCTGAGAAAATCAACTTTTCCTCCTTACCGAACAAGATTGGTGGTTGAGTGTACTGCGAAACTTGTATCATATACCCATGAACAACTTGAGAAATTAGAATAGCAGGCTTTGATATTCCTCTCTCCATCTAACTCTGATTTAATCCACGAATATCAGGAACAAATGACAGACAAAAAGGTATCTGCATAAGGAAAAGGAAAATCAGAAGGAATAGCAGAAGGCGAAAGACCTGCCCAAGTAAGAATGGCTAGCAAAACATCGCTTTAGAAGGTTATTGGCTTTTCCCCAGAAGAAATTGAACAGCTCAAGTTCAAGGATGAATCCCAGTCACTAATTTACTCACTTACAGTGGTGGCGGAAAGAAATAATTATATTGTTAATTTTTATTAAACGAAAAATTGATAGAATCAAATCTATATAGGGCCGTTACATATATAGATTTAATATAGAGTCCACCTTCCCCCAGGTAAGATATTTGAAAAATGTGACTCTATATATTGCCTAAGACACTGTCAGTATCCCCTCCCGCAAAAGTTACGTTTTGATACACCAGAAGTTACTTTTTTATGCACTTGAATAGTCACGTTTTTTTAAGCCTAAAGCTAATAAAAAAATGTCGGAAAGACAATTTACTAGCCTGAAGCTAATGAAAATGTCGTGAGACAATTTTACATAATTACAACCTCGACTCTAATATTAACCCTAACTTAACTCTAGTCCTAGCCCACATTTTTACTATATTGCGACATGCGTCAAAAAGTAACCTAAATTAGGGGTGCATTCAAGCGCATCTAAACGTAACTTTTGCTCCTCCTATAATATTACGTAATATATGTTATTGAAAGAATTTGCTGTAGTTGCTAGTTTATAAATTTAAATCGCACAAAAATTCACAGTACGTAGTCCTTTCACATCCACGGTTGTAAAACACACATAAAAGTGACCTCAGACTTTTTTACAGACAAAATTATAATAATATAATGAACAAATTTACTTAACGTTAAGTAATTAATAATACTTTTATAAAATCGTCACAATCAAACTTGTGTGAATTGTTCGCTATGCTATCCACTATATCAAAATTCCGAATACTCATGACAAGTTTCAATATCGACATAACCAAAACATGACGATAACGATGAAATTGTATAAATTTTTTACTCATAATCCGTGATTTCAGTCAGAATGATAGATTTTCTAGCCACAAGTATTCCTATTTTGATACAAATATCAAATTTGCAATATGATAACCATAGACGGAAAGCATCCCACTGCTGTTTCATTGGCTTGCACAACTCACCTTCACGTTGCGCAAGGGCCTGGGGAGATGGCGTTGGGGAATCTTCGGATCAACAGTAACATGTTTTCTTTGAAAGTTAACAAAAAATTCTTTGAAGATCATAATAAAAAAGAATGTTAGGTAACTGTAATTTTCAAGTTAAGATTGGTACCTGTTTAGTTAAGAACAATAATTTTATTTTTGAAATACATTCAAATCTCTATAGTTACACATGCTTATAGTCATATCCCTCTATAATAACCCTATTTTGCTTTTCCATTTACATATAAACATAGTAAAAAAACCCTCTCTGAAGTTGCATCCACTCTATAGTCACCAAATTTTGCTTTTTCAAGGGTGGTGACTATAGAGAGATTTGACTGTATTTTAAATATAGTTTCATTTTGACATTTGTTTCACTTTTTGGCAAATTTGATTATAATAATTAGGTGACATTTAATTTATTACTGCTTTAGACTTCTATTTGTTATGTATTTGTTGGTATAATGAATAGAAAGTTTGAACAAAATTGTAATTAACTCAGAATGATTTGTTGATTAATAAGTATTTGTATTGAATAAACTTTCAAATTTACCAAATCATTGATATATAGAAGTGAAATAATATTATGAAAACTTTTTTATGCTTTAAAACTTTTAATTTTTTTATATAAATTACATTTATTTTGGTTATGATCTTTGTTATCTTTCAAAGAAAACATATTGATATATATATATAATATTATTATTAATTCTTATTGCAAAAAAACACAAATCTCAATTCTACAACATTATTTTCAAGCTTTTGCATAGTGTAAAGATGAATTATTCAAAGCTTCTAGCTAGCAGTAAGATGTTTTTCACTTGAAATACAAGTATTAATACAGTTCTTGTTCTGCAAATTTAATATATCAAACTAAGAATACTTTGAAAAGAATTATAAATTTTACTTAATTGATCAAAAAATTTATTATTCTAATAATATTCAAATTATTATTATTTATTACTATTAAAATAAATAAATATATAATAATATATTATTTAAAATAATATCTGATTTTTTTGTTAATATTCTCTTATAATAATAAAGATTTCTATATATAAGAAAATGCAAAAATTTTGAATATAAAATAAAGTTTAGTATAAAAAGTTTTGTTTCTCTTTAATTAATCACTTATTGTTTTTTCAATAATTTAATAATTATTAAAATTAATAAATTAATATAATAATAAAAAAACAAAAACTGAATAATTTATAATTAATAGAATTCACTAAAGATTTTAAAGATCTTTTATAATAACTTATATGCAAACTAACTAAATATCAAAGATAAAAATTAGGAACAAAGAGAAAAAATGAATAAAAAAATAAAATAAACTAAATAATTATTAAAGAAATAATAGAACTTATTGAAGATATCTAATAAAATAAAATAATAATTGAACTTATTAAAAATATTAATAAAAAAATAAAATAAAATAACTAAAAATAAAATAATCAAAACTTATTAATATAATTTAAAAATAATAAAATCAAAATAAATAAAAATACTAAAATTAAGTATTCACTACTTGGAGTTAAAATTTGAAAATAATTATGAAAATAATAATATATTTAAAATAAGATATTATAAGTAAAATCTTTGTTATTTTTATTAAATTAGAACATATTAATTTTTAGTAATAAGAGATTTTTCTTTAATATATTTTTAATAACTTCTTTGATTTATATAATTAATAATAATTCTAAATTATATTACTATTTACAAATAATATTAAATAATATTAAAAGAAAAACAAAAATCGAAAAATTACACAAAATAATAAAAAATAAAATACAAGAGAAAATTAATATAAATTTTAGTGATTAGAGATAAAAAAATATAAAATTGCAATAAAAAGAAAATTCTAAAGAAAAATTGAATAAAATAAGATAAACTATAAGAAAAAATAAATAAAAATAAAAATATAGTGATCTTTCAAAATATTATAGATACTTTTTAAAATAAAAATTAATAAAAAAGCAAGATTTATAATTTTAAGCTAATAGAATTATTGGAATATATTGTACATTATATCAAATTTCAATTTTAATAACTAGTTTAAAAAATATATATAAATATAAAAAATATATATAAATATAAAAAATAAAATTTAGTATCAAATAGAAATTTATGTAAAAAATATTTATTTTACAAAAATAAAAATAACTTTGCATTCAGTAAATCAAATTAAATAAAAATTTATTGCATTTAGTAAATCAAATTAAATAAAAGTTTATTAGCAAATTCTTTAAGTTAAAACATATCTAATAATATCAAAATTATTTAATTTAAAGTATTAATACAAAAATATCATGTCTTAAAGATAATATACAAAATCAGAATAAAATTTTTTGAAGCAAATAGTTTTTTGTAAATATCTCTATATTCAATTAACCAAATTAGATAATTTTGATATCATTAAATTCAACTTGTTTAAATAAATCTAGTAATTTCAAAATCATTCAATTTGATCTATTGTATGTAAAAATATTTACAAAAATAATTTTCTTTAAACTATTTTTTTATCTTGATTTTTGTATAATATTTTTAATATATTATATCTCTGTATTTAATAATTCAAATTACGCATCCCTACAAAATATTACTGGAAATTTCAAAATGAATTTGTCACTTTGGTACATGATATCTCAACATCCAGTGATTTTGTTCAAACAAAAATATCACCATTAGATTCATATAGTGAAGATGAATTTAATAGTAATATTTTTGTTTGAACAGGATCACTGGATGTCAAAATATCATATACCAAAGTGACAAATTCAGTAATATACTGTAGGGGTGTGTATATAATTTTGATATCATTAGATGTATCTTGACTTGGTGAATCTGGTGATATAAATTTATTAATTTGGTTTACTGGGTAAGAAGATATTTGCATATTATAAAATAAAATATTTTTTGTGTAAATTTTCAGTTTGACACTAAATTTTATTTTATATATATATAACTAGTTATTGAAATCACTTGAAATATTAATATAATATACAATATGTTTCAATGATTCTATTAGCTTAGAATTATAATCTTGCTTTTTTATTGGTTTTTGCATTATTGTATTTAAAAAGTGTCCACAATATTCTGTAAGATCACTGCAGTACTGAAAATAAAAATAAGATAAAAAAGGAAATTAATATAAATATAATTGGTTTAAGATAATGAAATTTGAATTAAGAATGTTTTTGTTGGGATAATATATAAAATGTACTAATAGCAAAAAGATTAATTTGGGAATAAAAAATATCAAAGAAAATAAAGGATGGGAAGAAGTGAAAATAAATGTTAAAGTACGCAAAAATGTACGTAATTTGTTGATACATGTACTTGGCACAATGTTTGCAGATCGAAATGATCAATTATTAAAACCATAGATCATTACATCTGAGCATTTCGGTAAAAAAAAGCTCTATCAATGGTTTTGAGCATAGAATCCATGTGCCACAAATAATTTGACACAGGTTTGAAAACGATAAATAAATTAATAATTTCATTCGTCTATTACTGTATAAAAAATTTAGCAATTGATCTAATGAGATTAAAATTCAAGTTTTTAGTCTGAGAAAAAGATCTAGCTGATGAACTGATTTATCCACGAATTATGTAATGATTTATTGAGATTTTATTAAATTACCTAATTAAAAATACTATCATTAGTGACGACGACTGATATAATTAACTTTTGAGTCATAACTATATCATGCGAAACATCGAGATCTTAATTATAGATATTAAAGTTTTAACCTTAATGTTTTTTCACTTGTAAACTTTTTACGAAAATGTCTCAATTTACAATGTCTTTAAACTACAGCTTTATCATTCTAATCGTGTTTTTATTGAATAATCTCAATGCTGAATCAAAGAAATTACTCGTTTTCACTTTTTCTCCATCACTCGGAGAAATTGAACACATTTCATCGCGATATAACGTCTCAAAATTGATCAGTCTTGGTGACAATCTTCATGTTCTTCCTGGGGAATTTGACTCGGAACTTCATGAAACAATAAAACTTGAGTCTCAAAAGGATTGGTGGGTGACAGAAGACATCGTCGTGCGAAAGATAAATCCTGTAAATATAGATCAATTCGAGGACATAGGTAATGGCGGGTGTGATCCTCCACCACCTGGAATGGGTGGTAATTTGTCGGTTGACCCAGGAGCTGTGAAATTTAAAAATATCACGAATGGAATTACCGTTCAAAGTAATGTGAAGAGTTGGGTAAGTCTCGTAGCACTTTATACACATGTCTATAATTCTATACATTTTTATAATTGTTATATTTCATTATAGGGATTAGATCGAATTGATCAGCGTATTCGTCCATTATCGAAAACATACAACTTTGAACAAAGTGCTGGTGAAGGCGTCGACGTTTATGTCGTTGACACGTAGGTTAATCAGTCAAATATGAAAGAAAATTTTTTCGATAATAATTAAAGTTATTTTATCATTTATATAAAGTGGTATCAACATAAATCATGTTGACTTCGAAGGAAGAGCTAGATGGGGGTTAAATGCAGTTCCGGATACTGTTGATAATGACCTCCTCGGACATGGTACATTCGTAGCTGGTAAGCATAAAAATACAATCAATATACCAAAAGACCGAATTAAACGAATAAAATAATTTTTTTAGGGATAATTGGTGGTAAAGTGTACGGTGTAGCAAAAAAAGTCAATTTGATTGCAGTAAAGGTAATAAAATCAAGAATTATTGATTTGGTTTGATTTCGATCTGTTTTCTCTTTCCAACGCTAAATATTTATGCGATGCTAATAAAGTGTTTGGACGATCGCGGAGAAGGAACTCTCAATAGTATTTTATATGGCTTTGAATATGTCATGAAACAACACAATGCTACGAAAAGACCTGCTATTGCTAAGTAATTTGAGATATTTTTGTTGCTTTTAATTTGTTGTTCTTTTGATTAAAATAAATATTCTCAAATAGTCTTTCGTTTGGAACGGAGAGAAATAAATTAGTCGATATGGCTGTAAATCAACTAGTATCGGCAGGGATCATAGTTGTAGTAAGTTCTTCTCTACATTAATGCTCTTGAAATCTGTACACGCTTTCACATATCGTTTCTTTCTTTATAAGGCTGCTGCTGGAAATGGTGATGAATACGGTCGTCCTGAAGATGCATGTAATTCATCACCAGCAGCGTCTCGGCTTGCAATCACTGTCGGCGCGACCTCAACAAATGATACTATTGCTTCCTGGTCAAATCGAGGTCCATGCATCACTTTATTTGCACCTGGTCAAAGCGTCACGTCTGATCTCGCATGCACAAACCATAATGCTGGCGTTGAATCAGGCACTTCTTTCTCAGCTCCTTATGTATCGGGCATCATAGCATTGATGCTCTCTAAATATAAAGAATCCAATCTGAACCCTCAAAGCATAATGATATATCTCACGCAACTCGCCACAAAAGATGTCATCAGAGGATTGCCCAAAACGCGAAGCCCAAACTTATTGGCGTATAGTCAAGTTCAGGAGCTTGAAGAAGTTATAGGTGGTGCTGTGTCTGATAAAATTTTCGGTATTGGTGGTACTATTGTGTGTCACGTTGTGGGTGTATTTCTTTTAATAGAGGCAATTAAATTTGTTTTGGGTGTTGGCGGAATTTATTGTGCTTGAAATAATTAGAAATATAAGACATGTTGCAAAACACAAAATACATGATCACATAATAAAGTCGTTTTTTAAATTTATCTTTGCATTTTATATCAATAATTGTTCTCGAATTTCTAAAAGATCGATATACAGTTCTGACAAAAAAAAATGAGACTGTACCTTTTTTTAATTTGTAAAATTTTTTACATAAAAAAATTATTTTTAACATGATATATACAAATTTAAAATTTTTTACATTAAATATTTTTAAGATAATGAAAATTTTGTAAGAAATTTTATAAAAATAAATAATATCTGGTGCAGGAACTCTTAAATTGACAATATGTTTCAATTTTGAAAGGCTACTATGCAATACAGAGGCAAAAATTTCAATATCTGACTGGTGACTTTGTTTTTTATAATAAGTTCTACAAAGTTACTGGTCAGATTTTGAAAATTTTGTCTCTATATTGAGTAGTAACATTTAAAATTGAAACATATTGTTAATTTAAGAGTTCTTGTACCATATTTAAAATCTCTAAGTTTTGCTCTTTAAACAAGCTTAAAATAATAAAATATTATTTAATTAAATTTTTAATCTTTTTTTTAAAAAATTTATAATAATCAAAAATAGTGCAATACATAAAAAAATTTATTAATAAAACGTAATAAAAATACAAAAAATATGGATTTTTTTCTTTATTAAAGTTTTTAATTAATATCAAAATAAAAATAATATTATATATTATATTTTTTAATTGTTAGTATTAATATTTAAAATTTCAAAATTATAAAAAAGAAAAAAAAATAAAATTGTTTTTTATTTATTATATTGTTATAGCGATTCTGAATAGTGAGCTTCACTGAAAATCACTATAAGTATATAATGTTGGGAGAGGGATGATTAAACTTAAGTAAAAAGAATGAATTATAAATATTAGCAAAGGTTTCTAAGATCTGTGCCAATATCTATAGATATTGTGTGTTCAAAGGTTTAAATTACAAAAGTAATTTGAAAAAGAGGTAAAAATATAAAGATAAGAATAAAATAAATCAAAAGATTTATAATGATTAATAAGTGAAGCCACTATTAATTAAAGAAAAACTAATCTGTGACTAATCGTCAAGTCAACTAAAACTGTTTATTTCAATTTAAGAGAGCTGATCCTTTTATACATGTTTTTGAATACAAAAATTACTATATTATTACTAATTAATACTATTTAATATACATATTTTGTAATCTCAGATTAAGATTTTCAGATTAAGATTTTGAAATCAAGATTTTGAAATCAAGATTTTTGTGTAATATAAATATAAAAGAAGAATTGAAATATAAAAGAAGAAATGAAATATAAAAGAAGAGATCTATAAATGTATTAACTAATTAATCTACACAGTATTACTAAATATAGTTATATATGTGAAATGTTAATATTAATGTAGGAAGTTTAAAAAAAATACTTGATTATCTTTTTGCAAAAGTATAACTTAAAGTTCAAAGTCAGAAATTTCAATATAAAAGTATAATTTCTTTGTAAGTAACTTCTTGATTTTGTTGAATACTTTTTCTTGGTTCATGATCCAGATAAAAACAATATTGTTGTATAATAATTTGAATAGTGAGACAGCAATTTGTGAAAAGTCTTTTACAAACTTTTGATATTATCTAGCTAATCCAAGAGATAATCTAAATTCTTTTACTATGTGAGATTGTGGGAAGTCTATAATTTTTTTTATGGTTAATGAATCATGAGAGAATTCATTTTCATTAATTATATGTTCTAGGAAGAATAATTCTTTTTGAATGAAATTGCATTTTACTTAGTTAAGTTTCAGTCTGGCTTCTCTTATTTATTAGAATACCAGTTATAAATGTTCCTTTTTCATAATATATTATGCTCATTAATTTGAAAAATATGGCGTTCCAGCTTAATACTACCCTAATTCTAAAAGGTCACGAAATAGGTTCAAGAGAAGAATATCAATGATTATAAACCAATTAACGTATTTCCCAGACCTGGCTTCATAGAAAACATCTAGAAACCATTGTAAAACAATATTATAAAGTGTAAAAGCTTTTCAAAAACTGTGAACAAGCTCAAGACTTTTCTGAAAGAAGTGTAGTCAAAATTTAATGTGTTAGTTTGGGGAAGGTTGTGAGCTCGATGCCGTAAGGAATCGAGGTGATATTGAAGCAATTTAGAAAGTGGGTAATGTATTAGTTAATGGTAAAAAATTTTATGTATATAAAGCAAAAATGAAATAAATCGAATATATATTTAAAATTTCATTTTTAAAAAAAAATCGGGCGTTACTTTCTGTCTAATTAGTAATCTAGCATAGAAATAACTATAAAAAAAATATTTTTTTTATTTATTTAATATAATCGATGTAATTATTGTAGCATAATGCTTTAGCTTTGTCTTATCTTCGGGTGAAGGAAGAATTGTACTTATTGACTCCAAACGACGTTTTCGGGTTGGGGAAGGATAAATCTATTGTTGTTCTATCATTGTCCAAGATCATCTCTAACGCTAAAGTTTTTGGTGATGCTTACAAATTAAAGCAAATATAAATTTTATTCTATTAAATATCGATAACGCATACATAAAGTCTTACCAATTTCATTTAATAAAGATTGAAAGTTGTTTCATCATTTTTCTTGCGAATCACTCGATCTCTTCTCTCTTTGGTCTCATGTGGGATGCTAAAATCGAAATCTGTTTTGCACCACAAAAAAAATAGTAACGAATTAATTAAGTCACTAAAAATATAATTCTACCTTCGTTTGGAACAAACAGACTGACACTTGTCAACCCTAAACATTCGATATGAATTTAATTAATATTAAAAGTTAATATGAATTATATTTGGAAATAAAAATACCCGTGTTAGTTGGAATGTATATTGATTTTGAAGTAAACATTCGACTGGTGTAAACTGCTTTCGAGTGGATTTGTTTTTCGTTCGTGTTTGTAAGAATGTTCTTTTTTAATTTCATCTCCTTATCAAGTTCTTTCCATTTCTGCCTTTCCGGTTTGAGACACTCTTTAATTTTTCTAGGAGATTCTGAAGAGCCGTAGTACTGAAAATGCAAAGTATTCAGTTTTCTTCCCCACTTAATGAACACATCAGATTTGTTGATAGAGTTGATAAAGTTGTCAAGTGTCCCAGCAGTTGGTCTGTTTTCTGGAATAGGATCCCAACATTTTTCAATAATAAACTTGAATAATTTAGGAACATTATTTGGTATCGTAGGTCGTACTCCTTTATAAATGTCGCATACGAGATCTATATCATGACTTCGTTCACCAAATGGTCGTTCACCTGTGACAACCTCGTACGTAATCATTCCAAAACTATAAATATCCACCGCTTCAGTATATGGTTCTCCATTTAATACCTCCGGACTCACATAAGGAAGAACCCCATAAATCTCTTGATTGGATTTACTATCTGCTGGATCCGCAAGCCCAAAGTTGACAATGAAAGCATCAATATGTAAAAATATATTTCCAGGGTGAAAGTTGTAACACATAAGTTCTTTTTTGCGAATTGATCTCAGACTCCTGATAATACAAGCTAAATAACGTAACTTTTCTTCCCAAGTCAATTCTTCGTAGTTGGAAGTAATACACTTGTGTAAATTGACTTCTATATCGATATGCTTATAATCATCCCAATACCAATACTCATATTTTGGATAACGCATTACTATTGAGTATTCATTCGTAGCTGGGTTTTTAGTTATTCCATAACTTATTGGAAAGTAAAGATCACTGAACTTTAGAGCAGTCCGAATCTATTTTTTGAAAAGCTAAGTTTATTTGAAAACAAAAAAATTAACATGCTTAAATTGTTCATTTTTACCTCTTTTATGATTTGTTTTGAATTACGTAATCTCAACACAACTTCGCGTTTATCTTCTTCAACTCGTTTAAATATATTTTCTTTGTGATCCCACTCATATCTGTGAAAAGATGCTTTATAAATTGTCCCTTTTGTAAGGTATTCAACATTGGTAAATCTTTCGAAAGGGATCCACGCGAAATATGGATTAACCTTGGTGCATTCTTTTATTAGACAGTCGATATCCTTATTTTCGCTAGACCATTTAGTTTCATAAAGTTGATAGTGAAAATCGAAACATTCACTGCAGCGATCGTTTTCTTGACAACGAGTGCATTTACTACAATCATGAATTGATTTAATTTTATCTAAATATGTTTTGAACCATCAAAGAGAAAATCATAATGAATTAAAGAGGTTAATAAGAAGGAATATCAAATAGTGATTTTACCTTCATTTACTTCGTTTGAGATATACCGATATCGATACAAACTGCTTGTTGATTCGTCGATATCTATATTTAATACGCGTACATTTTAATATCTATATCGATATTGATTTGTTGATACCGATACCGTATTTTTTGAATAATAATATTTACCTTCGTTTGGAACATACAAACTGACACTTGTAGTGCCTAAATAAATAAATTGATTTTAATTAATATGAAATGTCAATGTGATTTATATTTAGAAATAAAAATACCTGCGTTAGTTGGAATGTATATTAATTTTGAAGTAAACATTCGACTGGTATAAACTGCGTTTGAATGGATTTCTTGTTTTTTATTCGTATTCGTGCTTTTTTGCAATTCCATCTCCTCATCAAGTTCATCTAATTTCTGCTTTTCTAGTTTGTGACACTCTTTAATTTCTTCACGTGTTTTAGGATATTCTAAAGAGCTGTAGTGCTGAAAATGCAAAGAATTCAGTTTCCACTTATCATCGATATAGAGGATAGAGTAGATAAAGTTCCAAAGTTCCCAAGCAGTTGGTCTGTTTTCTGGAATAGGATCCCAACATTTTTCAACAATAAACTTGAATAATTTAGGAACATTATTTGGTATCGTAGGTCGTACTCCGTTATAGATGTCTAATACGAGATCTA